CCTTCATCCCCAAGTCGGACGGGGGGCTCCGCCCAATTGCGCTACTGGGGGCGGTGGTACGCATACACGGCAGGCTCCGCAGGCGCATCGCGAAGGACTGGGGGGCGGCGCGCGACAGAGACTACTGGTGGGCCAGCTCAGGCAAGAGCTGCGACAGGGCTGTGTGGCAGCAGCAGGCGCGGGCAGAATGGGTCCAGATGATGGGCGAGCTGAACAGAGGCCAGGACTGGGCCTCGGCGTCAGTCATGATGGACCTGTGGAAGGCTTTCGAGCTCATCCTGCACGGCAACCTGCAGAAGGCGTGCAGGCAGCACGATTTCCCGCTGTGGCTGGCCAAGCTGCAGATCTCCCTCTATCGGCTTCCCAGGGTCATCAGCCTGGAGTCGTGCTGCTCTGACGAGTTTGTGGTAACGCAGACGGTCTTGGCTGGGGATGCATTTGCCACCACGTTCATGAAGGTCATGCTTCTGACGCCGCTCGACGAGATGAAGGCGGCCTGCCCCACGGTGGTACCTGCTGTCGTGGTCGACGACGTGGTGCTGCAGCGCTGGGGTGGCCTGAAGCGAGTGGCCAAGGACCTCACCATGGCCGCGAAGGCAGTGGCGAAGGGGTTGGCGAAGGTTCACCTGTCCATTGCCGCCAAGAAGTCGCGCGTGCTGGCCAGCAGCAGAGGCCTTAGGGCCACTCTCCAGAGGCACCTGGGCTCGACCACTGGGGCCATCGGTGTCAGAGAAGTGCGCAACCTCGGCATCGACTACACTGAGGGCGGCAGGCGGTCCAGCGTCGTCAGGCGGCACCGCATCACGCAGAACAGACTCCGCCTTCCTCGGATCCGACGGCTCCTGGGTCTACGCAGAGGAAGGGCCACAGCGGCTAAGATCGTATCGACTGGGCTGGCTCCCAGTCTCTTCTACGGGATCAACTGCACGGGGCTCAACAATACGGAGCTGCAGCAGGCGCGTAGCATTGTGCGGCACGCCATTGAGCCGAATCCCCATGGGAAGTCGCTCACGGCGTGCTTGCTGGTGGGGGGCTCTCCCACCATCGACCCTCTCTTTGCAGCTACGCTGGCGCCCTGCTTCACGCTGGCGCGCGCTGTGTGGGAGAAGTGGGTGCCGTTGGCGCAGCTCATGCCCGCTTTCGAGTGGGCAGCGAGGTCAACTACTTGCTGGGCAGACGTACGCGGGCCGCTTGGCGCAGTGGCCATGTCCCTGAGGAGGATCGGCTACGACCCCAGGGCGCTCGATTGCATCGTCAGGCCGAATGGTACGATCATCAACCTACAGGAGGTCTCCCCGTGGTATGCCAAGCAGTGCATCACGATGGACGTGAAGGCGTGGCAGATGAAGCTCTTGGCAGACGGCACGCACGCTGACGTTCGCAGTGGCATCTTCGTCTCGCAGTTGCGGCGGTGGTTTGCCAAGGGTGTTGGAAGCTCCAGCCTGGCCAAAGGCTGGGAACCTCTCAACTGCAGCCAGCGAGGTTACGCGCGCTCGGTCTTCGTCCTCGGGCAGTGGCCGAACAGCAGGAGGTACCACGGTGCTCCGCGGCTCTCGCATACGCCGTATTGCCAGCTGCACCCAGAGCAGCCTGGCACTCTCTGGCACAGGCACACCGCCTGCCAGGACAGCTGGCCGAGTTTGGCGCTGCCAGCCGAGATCAGCAAGCTCGTCCCCTTCAGCACCAGCGCGACCATCACTACGCTCCTGGAGAGGCTGGTCCTGCCCGAGCCCCTACACGAGTGGCGCCCGCCTGGAGACGACCTCCTCGCGCACGTGCAGTGGCTCAAGGGCGGCGACGGTTTCCCGTTTTCCAACACCACGGTCTACTCCGACGGAGCGGTCTACGACGCTGGGACTTCGCTGGCGGTGGGGGCTTGCGGAATGGTGCAGCTGCCCGACGGCGGTGACGACTGGGACCCTGGACCTGAGTCGGCCGTTAAGGCGCTAGGCACTCCCTTGCCTGGGCCGTTGCAGTCCATCGACGGGGCCGAGCTCTTGGGGTGTCTGGTGCTCCTCCGCCACAGCCTGCCCCCGATCACCGCGGCCTTCGACGCCACGTACGTGACAAAGGGCTTGACGGCGAGGGGCGAAGCCGGCACCACCAAGGCGACTTCTGCCTGGGGGTGCATCTGGAGGCGGGTCTGGGCGGCGCTTGACGACTTTGGCGGCATTGGGCCCCAGGGGCTCACGATCCAGAAGGTGAAGGCGCACGCCTCTGCGGCCATGGTTCAGAGAGGAGACATTACGGCCCGCGACAGGCGTGGCAACTGGGAGGCCGACCGTGCTGCAAAGGCAGTCGCTGCCGCAGTGAGGGCACCGCTCGTGCTGCGTGAAGCCTGGCAACGGCGGTCTCTCACGCTGGACGGGGTCGTGCACTGGGTCGCGCGCGCTGGGTGTGAGGCGGCTGACCTGAAGCTGGACATCGACCCGAACTGTAAGCCTATTCACAAAGGGCCGCCTCTCAGCGTCACCAGGCACGACGTGGTCAGGGTGGCTGGCGACGGTGTGCACTGCAGGGCCTGCCTCAAGACGGCCTACACCGACCTCAGCATCAAGAGGCTGCTCAAGGACCCATGCGTCGGCAAGCCGTTCGCGCCCGTGGCAAGCGGCGCGAGGCGCAAGCCAGCTGCTTCGGCCCTGGCGTCTGCAGGCGCGGTGGCGGTGGCGCTGGCAGCGGCGCACAGGCTTGAGCAGGAGGCCCAGAGCACGCAGGACGACGAGATTGTGGTGTCCTCCGAGCCAGAGGCCCAGCAGATGACGCCGAGCCCCGCCGCTGCCGCTCGTGAGCCTCCAGCTGAGGCGGCAGCGGCAGACGGAGGCAGCAGCAGTAGCAGCGGCCAGGACCTCTCGCCTGGCGCTGCCCTCACGCACGCAGTGGGCGCCGCCCGCGCCGCGCGCGAGCAGCCAGCAGAGGCGTCAGCGGCTGGCGGGGGCAGCAGCAGCAGCAGCAGCGACCAGGACCTCTCGCCTGGAGCTGCTCTCATGCGTGCGGTGGCCGCCGCCCGCGCAGCTCGCGAGGCTCAGGGCGCCCTGCGCGCGGGCCCCGCTGGCGGCCGGGCGGACGCGGGCCCCGCGGTCGCCCAGGACGCCATGGAGGTGGACGAGCCTGGGGGATCAGGCACCCAGGAAGCCGAAGGAGTGGGCCATGCGCTCCTCAGCATCAACGGCTTCAGGATCTGCACGCGCTGCAAGGCGTACGCCAAGGAGATCAATGGCAAGCGCAGGACGCTCGGCAAGACGTGCGTCGCAGCCTCAGGCAATGCGCTGCGCCTGCGCAACCTGAAGGTCGCTAACATCAGGGCGGGCTTGGACCCAAAGACGGGCAAGCGCCTGAGTGATTGAGTTGGGGAGTGCCTTCGGTGGTCTGAGCCTGTTCAGGCTCGGCACGGGGTGGATGGTGGCTCGTGCGGCTGCCTCACCTGACGGCGCATACCCGTGCAGCGCGGCGTGCGCGCTGCTTTCGGAGGCCGCTGTTTGCGGGCCTCTTCGCCGCATTTTGCGGCTCGCCATTTTGGCGGCAGGATCGGTTCGTGCTGCACGGGCTGCCTTGTCATTAAAAAAAAGTGGCTCTAATCCGCAATGTTTTATGTACGTCTGTTGCTATAGATTGCGCCTCTCCTGGGGCACGAAACCTTCCTAGGAGGTCCCAGGAGGTCCCAAGAGGCTCCTGGAGACCCCAGGAAGCCCCAGTAGGTTTCAGGAGGCCCCAGGAGGCCCCAGGCTCATGCACAGAGACGCGCTCGTACTACTGAGGCTCATTCACACTCCAATTCATTCGCAGTTAGATTGATGTCCAGACCGTCACAACTGAAGCCCGTTAATATTCGAAAGCTCTTGCGCCTAGACATTCGCGGCGGACAGGTCCATGCGAGTAGATGCACATATGGGGAGCTCCACGCAGTGAATAATTCCCCTATCCATAACCACTGCCTGCGGGATCGATCTTCACGGACCTTCACAGGCAGTGGACGTGGACAAGTCCGGGTCCCAGGGGGCCAACATCCACCAATGTCCACCGTCCGCTGGGGCGCCAGGACGTTTGCTCCCAGGCGATGGACATGCGTGAAATTCCCGCCTCGCGGCCGCGCCGCCCTTCGGGACCCCCGCCCCCGGCCTGCTCTCCCGCAGAGCTCGGCCCTGGCCGCGGCCTCCCCTCGGGGAAGCCTGGCCGCGGCGCCCCGCCGGCCGGCTCGGGGCGCGGGGGGGGGGGCGTGTGTACGACGGCGGGCCCCCTGCGGGGGGGGGGGGCAGTCGCCCCTGATTCCGCGCAGAGGGCCGCCCAGGGAGCGCCGAAGGTCGGCGGGGGGGGCGGGTGCCCTGACCTTCCAGAGAGCTATTTAATAGCACTGGAGGCCAAAAAGTGTAAACAGCTACACGAAACAGCCTAAAACCAAGATGTAGAACAGCTCTGGGATCGGTTTTTAAGTCGGGTGCCATTTTTTAGCCCTCCTGGAAGGTCCGGGTGGGGGGGGGTGCACGGCCGTGCCCGCGCTGCGAGCAGGGGATGGAGAGCAAAATCGATTTGCCAGAGGAGTGTTTTCCACGAGAGGTGCGCAGAGAACGCTCCGTAGATCTGCGGAGCGCTCGACGGAGCGCTCTGGATTCGATCCCCTGCTCGAGCAGAGGGCGCGGCGGGTGCCTGGAAGGGCCACGAAGGGCGAGGCTGGGGTGAGGGGTCGGAGCACGGGTATGGAGGCAGCAAGAGAAGGTTGGGACGGGAGGCGGTGCGGCGAAAATACTTAGAGAGAGGGGGGAAGGCAGGAGGAGGAGGAAAAGGAGGAGGAGGAGGAGGAGGAGGCGGAGGAGGAGGAGGAGGAGGAGGAGGAGGAGGAGGAGGAGGAGGAAGGCTGGGAGGATGGACCGAGCAAAGCAACGAGGGGGATTGGAATGATGGGGCATGAGGGGGCGGGGTCCAGAAGCAAGTGGGGGATGGGCACGGGCCAGGAGCTCTTGGCGCCTCGCGCGACGGACCGCCCTCGGCGAGCCCCAGGGCCGGAGGACTTTGGCGGCCTGTCGATCGGGAAGCAGGAGTTCACCGTGGTCTTCGACACCGGCTCCGCCCACCTGATAGTGCCATCCCTGCCACAAGGGAACGGGGGCCGTGAGGAAAAGGGCCCCCCTCCAGACCCAGGGGCATCCGACTCGGGGCTTCCCTGGAACCTGGCAGCAGGCCAGCTGCAGGACGCGCTTGCGTCGATGCAAACTCCTGGGTCTCATGGAACCCCGTGGCCCAGGACCCCCAGGCATCGATGTGCGAGTGTGTTATCACTCCGCGGGTCTCAAAGGTCTCGACTTCTCTTCTGAGACCAGCCTTGCGTCCCGGATCAATCTTGTGCGGCCCGCGGCCGAGAACGGGCCCTGGAGACCGAGATCGACGGAGGACGCTGCGGTCGAACAAGCCAGCCCGCTCGAAGGTCTCCAGGTGCCCCCCCCCCCAGGGGCACGAAGACGATCGAGCCCCTCGCGTCGCGCGCACGGGCTGAAGAGCTGCCCTTCTCCAAGGCTGCCCCGCGAGTGTGCGAAGATATCCGCGCGCCGTGCATCGCGGGGCGCGATGTGCGAAGCCAGGTCCGCCTTGAGGGCCCCTTGGGTCGTCTTGGAGCCCGCCTGGGCCGTCTTGGGGCCCTCTTCGGATCCTGCTGGGCTGCCTTGGAGCCCTCTTGGGGACGCTTTGGGCCGCCCAGGCTTCTCGGAAGCCCGAAAGGGCCAGTATGTCAAACTCCGACAAAACCCAGTGGAAGCACGTCGTTTCTTGCTCTCGAGGGCCTCCCTTGCGCGTCCTCTTGCAGCCCTCTTGGAAGCCCGAGCTGGAAGCCGGAGCCCTCCTCCTCGGGACCCGCCTCCCTCCGTGGCGGCCTCCGCCAGCTGCCTCAGCGACACCTGCCGGGCCCACCGGCAGTACGACCCCGCGGCCTCCTCGCACGCCCTCGAGATCGACCACGACGGCAGCCGCGTGCTGCCCGGCGCGCCCCGCGACCAGATCTCTATCGCGTTCGGCACGGGCGAGGTCACCGGGGTGTTCGCCCAGGATTCGGGGGGAAGTCCCAGTGGCAACGACAGGGGTCAGAGCCCCGAATCATCAGGGGTAACTCGGGTCAGGGCTAACTCGGGTTCGTTTTTCGGGAACCCGAACCCGAGTTACCCTGGGCCCGAGTTACCCCGGATAATTCAGGCGTCCAGAGCCCCACATCATCAGGGGTAACCTGGGTCAGGGCCAACTCGGGTTTCTTTGTCGGGAATCCAAGCCCGAGTTACCCCGGGCCCGAGTTACCCCGGAGAACTCGGGCGCCCAAAGGGGGCGATAGGCTCCAGGGGGGAGCGCATCGCCCCCCCCAAGCGCCCACGTCGCCGATAGTGGCCCGATAGGCAGCCCAACCCCGCCCAGGAAGGGTGCGGATGCGACGTCGGGGGGGCCCTCCGTCGATCTATATCGGCGACGCACCGCCAATTTTCCAGGTCGACGATTTTTGTGGGGCCGCGGGGCAAAAGGGGCCGCTCGGTGTCGTTTTGAGGCCACCTCGACGTTGGTGCCCAAGGCCCTACAGTCGGGGCCCTGGTGAAGGAACCCTTTTCGTTGGGGAGGGGCTCCGTGTTCCTGAAGTGTTTCACAGATTGCCTCAGGTTCTCCTTCTATTTTCGATCGGAAATCGAAGTTTAACTCATGGAAAAAAGAGGCATCGTTCCTTATTTAGGGTTCCTTAGGTCAACGCCCCGACTGTAGACCCTAAAGGCAATCTTGGGGTCACGGGAGCACATGGGCGCCGGAGATCTTTAGATTCGAGCCAACCAAGGGGCAGCGTTTCTCCCCCCCCCGAGCCTCTTGCCTCCACTGTCGCTGGCCCCTGAAAGCCAGCGGAGAGGGCGAGCCGAGGAGGCAGAGCTGCGGGCCCCTGGGGGGCCCTCTTTTTTGTCGCCCCGCGGCGTCGCCCCTACGGCCAGACGCGGCCCGGAGAGCTGGTGCGCCTGGACCGACCCCCGGGGAGGGGTCCGGGGGACCGATTCTGGGCTGAGCGCAGAGCGCAGAACGCAGCTGCCATCGCCCGTGGGGCGCGCCTACGAGGCGTGCAGGCGGACACGGTGGTCCGCAGGTCCCCAAAGAGGACCAGTGAAACGCAAGCAGCTCCAATGGTGGTGCCAATGCCAAGCTTCAGCGCCGAGCGAATGCGACGTATTCTTGTTCATGTGCTTCACAAGCTTCGCTGTCATGCGCCACGGTTTCCCATGACTGCAGTTGTCTCGGATTCGCGAAGCTGCACAGTCCATCCTCCCGCTTCTGAGCTGACGCTGTCTCAATTCGCCCTGCTCCGACGGCTGGCGGCGCGCACAAGAGGGGGCAGCGCGAGTGGGGCGGCCTTCGGAGGAGGCGGGGGACCTTCTAAGAAGGCAGGGGCCTTCTCAGAAGCCCTCGCGGCTGCTAAGAGGCCTTCCGAGAAGCCCCGAGGCCCTTCGCAGCGTGTCCCCGCCTTCGACGAGGCGTGCCGCCCTCTTGGAAGGCCACCCCCCGAGCGCCACCCCCTCGTGCGCGCCGCCACGAGGAGGGACGTGATACGGATGCCGCCGCCCCCCCCTCGTCTTCGGCGGTCCTCGCGGACTTCCTGGGTCGCCGCTGGTCCCTCCTCCTCCTCCTCCTCCTCCTCCTCCTCGTCCTCCTCCTCCTCCTCCTCCTCCTCCTCCTCCTCCTCCTGCTCCCTCCTCCTCCTCCTCCTCCTCCTCCTCCTCCTGGTCGGCACCTCCGGCGCCGCCCCTGGCGCGCAGAGCGCGCCAGGGCCGACGCAGGAGCTGCGCGCGGACCCGCCGAACGTTCCACAGCTCCCCAAACTGTGCTTGCATCAGTTACTCCAGATTTCGTAATAAAAGGGAGGGGGTCTGGACCCTCCAAGACAAGCCATTTCAGACCTCCCCCGTGGGAGAACCCTCCAAAACATCGTCCCCAGACCCCCCAGGCCCTCCAAGATAGCCTGGAAGAGACCCCCCCCGAAATGAGACCCCCCTCCCTTTATTACGAAATCTGGAGTACCGGTTGCCTTGCTAAGCAGTGGCTAGCGTTGCCAAGTCATGAGCTGGCGTTCCCGTGTTGCCGTCCAGGGGGCGTCTGTCGTCGCCGCTTCGTCGCCGCTTCGTCGCCGCCGCGCGCGTTTGCTGGCGTTTCTTCGGGGTTCCGCCTGGTGGCACGCCCGAGACTGATGTTATCGATGGATGACGCCTTCGGCGAACCACTGCCGCCCCCTATTTTTTTTGGAAACGCCTATTCGGGGGTTGCTGAAAGTGCCTCTGGCTCTAGGTGCCCCCAGCTTTTCGTTTAATCTTGGAGCCCCTGGGGCCCTCTGGGGTCCGTGGGGGCCTCCTTGGAAATCCTGGGGGCACCTTGGGCCAGGGGCACTTCCAGCAACACTCGACCTATGTGGCCAAACGTGGCCAAAAACTGGTCACGCTATTGGACTATGTGTTCCCCCAGTCGTTGAGGAAACCCTCGGGGAATCGCATGTGGGAGGAGAGGGAGGAGGAGGAGAGGCAGGAGAAGGAGGGGAATGAGGACGAGGGGGATGAGGAGGAAACGGGGGCCTCCTGGGGGTCTCTTGGGGCCGCTGGGGGCCTCTTGGGTGTTTCTCAGAGGGCCTGCTGGTGGTCTCGGGGGCCACCTTTACGGGAAGGGCTCGAACTGTCAGTTCGGGTTCCCCCTCTTAGGCCTCGCTTGGGGCCTTTTTGAGGCCCTCTTGGGCTTTCTTGGGGCCCTCCTAGGCAGTCTTGGGGCGCTCTTGGGCCGTCGGGGCCCTCTTTGGAGCCTCTTGGGCTGTCTTGAGGCGATCTTGGGGGCTTCTTGGGCTGTCTTGGAGCGTTGGATGCCCGAATCAGCGAGACTGCCAACATTTAACAGACCACACAGGAGCAACACATAAGTTTGCCTTGGAGGTGGTCCTCTGTGGAGCTTTCTTGGAGCCCTCTTGTTGCGCCGTGAGGGCATCTAATATAACTATTGCATTACCCAGGGTAAACTACATCACATATCCTACATTCTCCTTTCTAGAAGGATAATCCAGCTGCCTGCGGCAAGTCCCGCCACCGTCTTCGAGGCATCTTGGGCCATCTTGGTGTCCTTGGTTGTATGTCTGCCTGTCTCGTCTTACTATCTCTGACGAGGACACATCGATCTTTACAAGTGATCGTGGCGTCAGGAACGCAGAACAATCGTTCTTGTACGAGGGATCGGGGCCTTTGGAGGGGGGCGACGCATGCAGTGAGACGCGATCAGGGGAGGGGGGGGGGTCCCCCATCAGAATACAGGAGCTCTACCAGGCGGACCTTGGCATTCTTCCACGCCTCGACGTGCACAAGGCAAGGTGGCGGATAGACTCTTCTCCCCTCGAGGCTGCGATTGTTCGTTTGTACATCCCTTTCCGTAATACAATTTCCACATGGTTCTGCGTCACATCTTTCATTTTCCATGTGAATTCGCACCATCCCGATTCATCCCGGCATCGACCCCCTCATTCCCGATATTTTGATTTGATGCGGTGCATTTGCATTGGCTAAGAAGTGTAGTGGTTGATACTTTCTTGCCACATATGCGTTACGGGGAACATGCGCGCGCTGCCGCGCGCGCACGTCAGAATCCTTCAACATCCCCTGTTTTCGATATGTCTCAAGATATGGCGAGCCCACAACAACCAACAACCATTTGCTTTCCAGCAGAAGAGTTGCCAGAATTTTGCGCGCGGGCATGTCGAAAATGTTCAACCACCATTTCACGCCCATCAGCTCTGTCAAATAGTGCCATGCGGGCCCCACGCTCGCGTCCGCCGCGCACGCGCGCCGAACTCGTTCTAATTGCGCTTGGTTTTTAACCATCCCAACAGAGGTGTTCAAACACATGCGAAAACCCTATGGCTTCAATCACATAACCAATGTCGAGATGGCTAGAATTCTGCTGGCGCGTACGTTCTCATCACCCACATCATCACAATCGTTGTCATCATCGTCAGGGTCGTCATTGCCCTCGTCGGCGCCATCGCCATCCCCATTAGTGTCATTTCCATCGCCGCCGTAATATTCGGCATCGTCGTTGTCGTCGCCCTCGTCAAATTTTCTGCGCGCGGGCACTTCGTCATCATCGTCACCAGCACCATCGGCATCATCGTCGCCTGCGTCATCGCTGCCTCGTCATTTTCATCGCCATCACCATCGTCGACGTCGTCGTCGTCGTAGTCGCCATCTTGCTCACCGTCGTCATCAACATCTCCAGCGTAATCGTCATCGTCGCTGTCGCCGACTATATGTGTGTTGCCAGCAAAGCTGCGGGACGCGAGCAGTTGAGTTGAAGATTTCAGTACGGTGGAAACTAATTGCACCGCGTATATTGCATTGCACATTTGGCAGCCCACATAATATGGCACCGCGTAGATTTGACCACACTTTGCATCACCACATAGGGTGCAGTTCGAGAGTGTAGCAACCCACTGTTTGAGGTTCTCGCTGGCAAACATTTTGATATGCCGTTTCTCTTTGAAGGACAGGATGTGTTTGGGCGTGGTGGAGCCAACGGAGGATACGGAGACAGCGGCCTACTGCGTGGACATGAGGATAGTCCACGCCACAGAGATGTCGCCTGAGCCGTTCAACTCCTTCACGTTCGATGGCATCCTGGGCCTCAGCCTCGACTCGTTAGCGCTCGCGCCCGAGTTTAGTGTGTTCGGCATGATGGTTCGCGAGGGCCGGCTGGCCCGACCCAGTTTCGGGGTCTTCCTGGCGGAGGGCGACGAGGAGACCAGCGAGATCAGCTTCGGCGGCCACGACCCAGCGAAGGTGCGGGGGGAGCCCGCCTTCGTGCCTGTGTTCGGACCTGAGCACGGGCACTGGCAGGTCCAGATTACGGCTCTCCGGCTTGGGAACCAGACCTTGGACTTCTGCAGCGACGGCCAGTGCCGCGCGGTGGTAGACTCGGGCACCTCGCTGCTGGCCGTGCCCCAGGCGCTAGAGAACGACCTGGCCGTCATGCTGGAGGACAGCCTCAGGGACCCCCTCGAAGCAGGGCCCGACGGCAGCGGCGTGGACTGCCGCCTGGCCCAGGGGATGCCCCTGCACTTTGACATCGACGGGTTCACCATCACCCTCGAGCCGGGGGACTACACCAGGCAGGCCCTGCGGATGTCCGAGGACGGCACCACGGTGCCCGCGCTGGTGTCGAGGGAACCCTCCGTTGGCGAGGACGGGGCGGAACCCCTCGCGCGGAGCTGCTGGCCCACGCTGATGCCCATCGACTTCCCGGAGCCGCTGGGGCCCAAGCTCTTCATCTGGGGGGAGCCGGTGCTGCGCAGGTACTACACCGTGTACGACTGGCACACCCAGAGCATCGGCTTCGGGCGCGCCGCCCACGGCGGCCCACCCGAGGGGGCCTCGGCGGCGCCCGCGGCCGAGGCCAGCGGCGCGGTGGCGGGGCCTGCCGCGCGGGCGAGGGGGCGGAGGCCCCTGCTGGTCGTCTGACCTCGCTGCTCGAGCGGAGGGCGTCGCCGAGGCCCGCGGCCTCGCGGTGTCCCGTGTGCGCCCGCAGCGCCTGCGGGGGGCCCGCAGCTGGCCACGCCAGGCCTGGCCTGGGTGCACGTCAAGGGCGCGGCGGCGCGTGAGGCCCGGCCAGGCTGCACGCCCCGGCGCGGTGGCTCCTCACACGAGCGACGAGCGCCTCCACGTCCATGCCCTCGCGCAAAGCCGCTCCGTACTTGCGGGGCCGCGGCCGAGGCGTCCAGATCGCGAGGCCGTGGACGGAGGTGTCTCCTGCCGACGGGCATCCGCGCTGTTGGGCGAGGGTGGGTGCTCTTGGGCGTCTTCTCGGCCCTTTTCGGGCCTCTGCTGGCCTCCGGGCCTCGTAGTTAGGAGGCCTGGCAGAAGCCTGGGCACGTGTCCCCCTGCCTTCCTGTGGCCGTTCGCACCAGACAGAGTGCGTTCGGGGATGGCAAGCTCTTCTCGGGCACCGTTATTCCTCCGCAGCCCTCGCACCAGATCGAGGGAGGCAGGCACCAGACCTGCCTCAGCTGTGGCAGGAACGGCGCTGTGGCAGGCAGGCACCAGACCTGCATTCTCAACTGCCTCAGCCTCGCGACCTGTGATTCGAGCAACGGGAGCTCTTAAGCAGCCTGCATCACAGTGACGTGATGCATGCTGCATATCGGCCGTGACTCTCCATCCTATCCCTCATACTACTCACTCCGAGCTTCTTCACCATTTATTTTCTTCGGCTGTACGAGAGATCGAAGGTCTCGTGACGAGACTTCTTTAGTGTCTCTTGTTTTCTTCGTGGAACGTCCCAAGACCGTCATAGATGCGCACACAACGCCACGACAGCGGTGGCGTACTGGCGGAGTGGCGTAGAGATGCCTGGCCGTTTGTCACCCGAATCTGGGCTCAGACTTTGTTTTAGCATAGTTACTACAGATTTCATGGCCTCCATCTCCACAGGATCGCAAAACGACGGAAGGCGAACATGTCTGATAACGTCTGTAGTTTATGGTCACGCCTATGATTATTATTGTCCACAGCGCTTCGCGGCACCACGTCTCGACAGGCTGGGATGTCTCGGAGCAGCTAGGGTTCTTCAGGCTCTCGTGGGCCGACGGTGGGTCGCATCGAGCCCATCCTGGGCCCGTTGGGCTCCTTGGGGGCTCTTTGAAACTTCTTCTGGGCCTTCGTAGCTGTTTGGTGGCGTCTCCATGGGAGTATCGGGGCAATCTTGAGCGGCCTGGACGCCGAGGCACGTTCTCTGAAGCTTCTGATCCTTTGCGTTGCGGGTCCAGCTAGTCAACTGTAGTTTTTTTTTGTCAGTCGAGGAGATACACAGGAATTTTAGACAGAACGAGGAAACGAAACATGCCAGGAAACACGGCTTTAGAGTATTCGAAGGTTTTGTGGGACATTTACTGGTGTTCGGAGGATTCTAGCGGTGTCTGTCAGGAGGAAGCGGACGCGGAGGATGGGGAGTGCGGGATGAGGAGATCACGCATTGAGGATGGACATGGGGAAGGAATGGAGGAGGCAGAGGAGGAGGTTTCGAGGTCGTTGGGGCCTCTCGGAGGCATGTGTGGCGTTATCGAAGACGCATGCGGCGAATCACCGCCGCAAGCTGCCTTTTGGAAACGCCTATGTGCTCAGATTGTCTACCGAAGTCTTGCCAAGCTATTGGACTATGCGCTCCCCCAGCCGTTGTGGAACCCCTTGGGGGAACATTTAGGAGACGAAGGGGAAGGAGGAGTAGAGGGAGGAGACGGGGGGAGAGGAGGAGAAGGAGGAGGAGGAATATTAATAATAATAACAATAGTAATAAGTATTTTAGGATTAATAATGCTGATACTAAGCAAACTAGTCATGATAATAATAATAATCATAACAATAGTATTAATATTTGTAATAATAATAACAACAGTAAGAAAAATAAGATGAAGAGGAGGTCTGTTGAGGCCCTCGGAGCCTCTCAGGGGGCTTCCTGGCAGCCTCTTGGCGGTCTTGGAGGGGCCTCCGGGGGGCCTGCTGGAGCCTCTTGGTGGCGTCCTGGGGCTTCTTGTGAGCATCTTGGGGTGCTCTGGGGGCCTCTTGGCCGTTGGAGGCCGTCTTGGGGCCCTCTCTGCTCAGTCGTGGTTGCCTCTTTGGGCTTCTTGGGTTTGTCTTGGAGGACTATGGGGCCGTCTTGGGTCTTGGGGCCGTCTTGGGGACTTCTTTGGCCGTCTTGTTGCCCTCTTATGCCGTCTTGTGGGCCTCTTGCGAGCCACTTGGGTGCCTCAAGGGCCGTCTTTGGGCGATCTTGTGGCCTGCGGGGCCGCCTTGGAGCGTCGGAAACCTGAAAAGGTGAGAACGCTAAAATCATTGAGTAATCAACGGAGCCTCAATGATTGTGGCCTCCTGGAGGTTCTATTAGAGCCCTCTTGGGGCCTCTTTGGGGCCGTCTTGGGCCGTCTGGATGACATTTTGGGAAGCCTTGGGGCCATCATTGCCGTGTTGGAGGCTTCCGGGGACCGTCTTGGGACCGTCGTGGAGGCTATTTTGGGCAATCTTAGCCGTCTTGGAGGTGTCTTGAAGGCTGTCTTGGGCAATCTTGGCCGTCTTGGGGGCCATCTGGGCAGCGGGGTATATCTCGTCTTGGGCTCTCCGGATGGCCGGCGGGCTGGGCTGGAGTCCAGTTGGGACTTTTAGAGGACAAAACAGTCAATCGTTCGGCACACCAGGCATGCCTTTGATATATCAACAGGGGGCGGCAGATCGAACACGCCTACGGCGAATCACCGTTGCGCCCTGCCTTTTGAAAGCGTCTGTGTGTCCGCACGTTGCGGCCAGAGCTCGGCTACGCCCTCGGACTATGTGTTTCTCCAGCCGTCGTGGAGATCCTTCGGGGAACACGTGGGGGAGAAAGAAGACGAGGTGGAGAGGGGGGGAACAAGTAGGGGGAGAACCAGTGTAAACCCACGACGCGTCAAAGGTGTTGTAATACATCCTCCCTTCACCCTCTGCATAGGTCCCTACAAGAGTTTATTTTCATTGCAGGACGTGGCTCATTGGAGATGACCCTCAAAGTATGCTTCACAGATCGCTGAAAATTCCAAAGGAACCTCCGATACAAGATCCAGGCTTGAACAATCGACTTCAGGAGCGAACGCCCTGTACGAGTCGGACTCCGACCGCAGAAGCGACGATTCTGACATGCAGGTTGGTTATCTATCAAAAATATTAGTGGGTTGGTTTCTAGATATAGGGTTCCAGAATCGTGCAATGAAACCAACGTGATGGTGTTACACTGAATGAGACACTGATTCTGCACAACAGACGGTGGTCATACTTTCTTGGGATCCGGGCTCGAAGACTACCAGCGTGGAGTCGGAATCATTTTGCACAAAAGAAAGGTCAGACATGTTGTTTCTTTCCATCCCGTTAACAAAAGGGTTTGTGTATGTGGATATAAAGCGAGGGTCGTTCAGACTGCGAATCGTAAAAGCGTATTTTCTCACAGTGGATATGGCGACAAGCACGGTCAAGCAATGTACGGTACGCTATCTTATATCTGCTCAGAACACATTCAGCACGTATGATGTCCATCATCGGAGCCGATTGCAACGCTCGCGCTGGGCAACGCTCGCCGGACGACTCAAAGTGTATTGTGGGGCAACATGGGATGTGCCCCATGAGCGTTAAATGGCAGTGTTTGAAACAGTGGGCGACGAAGCACTGGCTTGCGAATAAAATCATAACAAATAGAACAGAACGTCGCCTCAGAAAACGGACAGGCAAATCTATCTTTTCTTGATGAACGCAATGTTGTGGAAAGTGGTCCAAGATTGTGAATCGACCTCCGAAGTTGATATGGGATCTGATCATCGTGCAGTGCGGCTGTCATGTGTTGTGAGAGCCCTCCACAAGCAGCAGATGACGAACCGCACGCGACAGCAACGCCATCATGGATCAACATGGCCTTTTGCCGACACGACGCAGTATCAGCAAACACCATGTGAGCAGCCCGACATATTGCTGGCAGAGACAAAGCTACACTTACAATGCGAACAAATGGAACAGTCAATCAACGACGTACTGTTGCAACTGCAACTTCCGATCATGATTCGTCACCAAAGCTACCTCACAACCAACAACACTCACGCAACTACTCAAACAGAGTCGTGACACACCGACCCATTGGACAACAACACGGAACAGACTCAACAAACATATCCGCCAGGCTACATTCGCTCGCATCTTGTCAGAATGCAAAGGTTCGAGACGCATCAGCGGAGCCACGAGCATCAAGACACGATGATTTAGTACGAGCATGACAGACAATGCCGGGGAGACGCACCACGATCGACGAACAATATCAGACGTATTTGCGACGACGTTATATGAAGAACTTTACAACGACCGTACTTACTGGCACAGCGCCAGGAACGAACGACCCAATCACAGTGAGCATCGTGACGCTATCACACCATTTACACGGAACGGTTTGGAGACCGCGTTGCGCCAGTTGCGGTGTAAGAGAGTTGTTGGCTTCTCTGGGATTTCAGCAGAGATGTTCAATTCTGGAGGGAATGCCCCACGCCGACCACTTGGGGGCACACCGTAGTCAACGTGCTTCACAAAAATGGAGGCCCACAACAACCAAATAATTACAGACCGATTGCTGGCATCCCCACGCTGTACAAACTCTTCTCGCGGCTTATATGCAACTGACTGCGCCCGCTCTTAGGTAGCAGCCAAAGCCAGACAAAACAGGCTTTGGACCCCGCCGCAGCACCACCGACCACTGCACGACATCACTACTGCAATAAGTCGCAGACGAATGGTCGCTCGCCGTGTGGTCGGCCGCAGTGGACTTCAAGAAGGCATCCGGCAGCATTACGCACGCGAGCATCTAGGAGTCATCTGCAGAGCAGCGCACGCCCGCACCGTGCATCCACTTGCTGTCAAAACTCTCATCAGAACCAGACGGGGTCAGTTCACATAAATGGAGCAAGCAGACCATTCAACGTCCTGCGGGGAAATTACGACGGAGTGGAAAGCGGAGCACATCGCACCCCCCCCCGTCCCCCACAGAGCGGAGCTGCGACGGAGCGGAAAGCCGAGCACATCGCACCCCCCCCCCAACACAGAGCGGAGCTCGAGCAAAGCTCAAGCCCACGCTCTTTCAAACTCACACGCCGGATCGGCGGGTTGGGCTCTTGCGGCCAATTTTGCCAACCGAATCTGGAGAACACAGCGACACCTGTTTCGCATGATTATGCGAGTGCTGAGGTGCACCTCCTCAAACATCTTATCCAAGCAGCAATAGCCAGCGCGACGAACCCCACCAAAATTCCGACGAAGGCGACGACAACGGATGTGACGTGGAGAGTATTCCGCGAGATACCACGCCGAGTAGTCATGATGATGACGACCAATGAAGGGAGTGCCGAGACATTGGAAGCATGGATGGATTGGCCACCCACAAAGCTGAAGCAGCAATTTCGGAAATAGGACATGATGACTGGGTCTCGAAAGGGCGGAAAAGGAAATTGTAATCGGTACGGGAGTTAAGTGCCACCAGAGAACAGGAATGCATGTGACAGATAGTTCATTGGACTCCACAGCGTGATTCCTTTGACTCCATAGTGTGATCCAGTGAACATTGCGAGACGCAGGCCAGGAAGGCCCATCACCAGTTGGACTGGTGATAGACGAAAGCAAATTGAGGACAATGTTGGACATGATGACGTGAGTAATACAATCATTCTCAGTGTTGCACCAACACGTTTTCGGAACGCTCGTGGTTCAAAGTTTACGTCGCACCAGGTGTCATCGCGCATCGTGACTTATCTTTTTTTTTTGCGCCCCGGCGCCGCGCCCGCAGCGCCCTAGATGGTGCCCGTGCGCGGGAGTGTCCTGTCCTGTCCTGGCCCATTCAAAGACCCGTCTGAGAATCCCCAATCGTGTCAGAACACATTCCCTGGGACTTGAACGCCGCGGATCAAGGTG